TCATTAGCAGGGAGGTTGGACTGCACAGAGACCATAATAGAGCAAGTGCTTGCAGGTTCCTATCAAAACCATCCCCTACCCAGTCCGTGGAAAAATTGTCTTCCAGGAAACTGGTATCTGGTGCCAAAACGCTGGGGACTGTTGCCCTAGAGTCTAAATCACACAGACCCTGAAAGAGTTATTTGCAAGAGAGGAAAAATAAGCAGTGTTGGTTAGGACAGGGTTTTTCGACATGGACACTGTTGACATTCTGGCAGGGTAATTGTTTGTGGTGGGCGCTGTCCTGTGGGATATTTAACAACATCCCTGGCCTCTACCCACTACGTGCCAGGACTACCGGTAGGGTGACAAGCAAAACTGCCTTCGGATGTCTCAGTTGAAAACACTGAATTAGCAAGAGGGCTAATTCAAGGTAGCTACAGGAAATCTTTGTTTTGATTAACGCAGTGCAGATGATCATTAACACCTTCTAGGCAAACCCATGCAAGAGACTTGTTACTTTGCATTCCCCAAAGCACAAGACCAATTCCTATTTCTCTCGTGTGAACTCATATGTGGCTAACCTGTGTTAATGATAAATTGAAATTGGTCTAAACTCTACCAGGAAAGGGGAGAGGTTATTGTCAAACTGCTGGTGTGGGTGCAGGAGTAGATACCTGTTATTCTTCTTATTTTGTCCTCTGTCACTTCAGCCAGTTTTTCCGCAGCGTCTTTTAGCCGTTTAACTTTCCCGAATGTTTCCTTTGTCATACTCGTTTTATGCAGAAGAATAACATATTGTTTTTTCAGCTCAACAAACTCCTGTAACAGAGCAACACTCCCGCAATGAGAAAGTATTTATAAAACATGTACATAAGCATGATGATTCTTCTAATACCATTCATAAAAAGAAGACAGAGGAGGACGCCATCATCGACTCCATTCTAACATTTCCAACAGAGCTTTTATTTGCATGCGTGTTTTTTCAGGTTGAAAAAGAAATTTAGCTTCAGTTGAAAATAAAACTTCTTTGTTACAAAATATCAATCATTGCCGGTGAAGGCAACTATTTATGAGGCACTGATCATTTATTCTGCACTATGTTATGGTGGGAGATACAGAAGGCAGAAATAATCTAATTCTGTCCTTGACAAATCTCTGGTTCAGTTGGGTTGATCAGTTGTATGTGCAGAATGAAGGGATAAGCAAGGGATGAAGATACAGAGTACACCTGATTGGGTTCACTAACAGGTAAGTGAGGAAGAAAGGGGGCAGGAAGGGAAGTAGGCACGTTAACTTGAAGATCTCCCTTGGAAATGGAATGGAAATCTTTGCATTAGCCTGTGTGGTTGACAACCTAGAAGGTTCAGTAGCTGAATGAAAGCCAGAGCCAGGAACAAGACATGGAGATAGGAAGAGGGTGAAAAGGACTCACCTTTCTCAATCTGTGTCCCATAGAAAATGTTCTTGACTCCCGAGTCAGTGGAAAATTTACTCAGTACATTAGGAATTAAAAGCAAGAGAATAGACCAATTGTAAAAACACTAACATGTTTCTTTTGTTTAAGCTACATGGACTATACTAACATGACCAACCAAAGACTTGCTGTTAAGAAAATAAGTTGATAGGTTCTTTCAGCAACCTAAATTAATGGGCCACTTTCCACAACTGTTTAATTAACTTGCTCTGATTTTGGTAACTTGATCTATTTTCCTTGGCAGGGTGACTTTCCTTTATTGTTTTCTTTTTCTTTGTTTTGATTGAACTAGAGTAAAGGGCAAATACATACCATATAGACAGACAATATAAATTATGAAAGTTTAGGGAAGTTTAGGGAAAATTTGATTTATGGACTATTTCACCAGGACACCACTAAGAATACTAGGATGGGCATGATTCCAGGGACTTCTGCCTTCTAGAAAGACTGTTTTCTGCTATAGAAGATTCTTTGTATATCGGGATCCCTCAGACCAGCGCAAAAGAAAATGCAGAGAAATGGCACAAAAATCTGGGACTAAAGGATTATCTTTGAAAGAAGCATAGTTTGTCTGCTCTAGGTGGTAATGGTAGGACCAATGACCTGCTCACTGCTCCCAGCCTGCCGTCGGGCGGATTCAGCCTGAGCTTTCGCACTGTCAGCCTGGTCTCGACTCCCTTGCAACTTGGTCCACAGCAGGGCAAGCCCATCCTCCAGCACTGACTGCTGCTTTACTAAGTTCAGCTCATGCTTCATTTCCTTGGCTTGATTTTCAGCCTGTTGTTGATTTAAAGATCAGAGAGGGAAAATTTCTTTATGAGACAAACAGGAAAATAAATTATATCTTAAGCTGTTAAAAAATAAGCTGGATGTAAAGGAAAATAATGCCTTTGCTTTTTCCATTGCATATAATAAAAAAAGTTATAATGTAGTAGTTCAGACATATAAAATGGTCTGAAAAATATGACAAATATCCTGTATCCACCAGCCAATTTAAGAATAAAGCCCTGGCCAAGTGTGGTGGCTCCCGCCTGTTATCTTCACACTCTGGGAGGCTGAGATAGAAGGATTGCTTGAGGACAGAAGTTTGAGACCAGCTTGAGCAAGAGCAAGACCCACTCTCTCCTGGAAAAGAAAGAAAGAAAGAAAGAAAGAACGAAAGAAAGAAAGAAAGAAAGGAAGGAAGGAAGAAAGAAAAGAAAGAAAGAAAAACTAGCTGGGTGTCGTGGCAGGCACCTAATCTCAGTTACTTGAGAAGCTGAGGCATGAGGATCACTTGAGCCCAGGAGTTTTGAGGTTGCTGTGAGCTACGATGATGCCACTGTACTCTAGCCTAGGTGACAGAGGGAGATTCTGTCATAAATAAATGAATAAATAGCATTAACAATGAGCATTAATAATTAGCAATTAATTAAATAGCATTAATACTAGATTATCCTGAATCTAGTATTTGTCATTGCACGTATTTGTGTAGGCTTTTTGCCACAGTCTATGTAGTATTTTCAACCATATGTGGTATTTATTTTTTTTACCTTATGTAAATAAATCATATTGTATATTTCTGCAACTTGGTTTTTAAAATTCAAAAATGCTTGTGCAGGTCATTTAAGTTAATTTCTATAGCTTTAGTTCATTGTTTTTACCAACTTAATGTATTCCATTGTTAGACTATACAGCAAATTATTTATTTTCCAGCTAGTGCCAGTGGCTGCTAATATTTTTAACTTATGAACAGTAATAGTGTATATTTGTTTATCTCAAGGTCTGTATTTATCCTCCCTAGAAGTCCTATTTAAATATATTTCAATCTAATTGGTTATTTGTGAGCTCTTGTCTCTTGTTCATTGATCATAGTTTCATACCTTCTTGGATTTTCTTCAACATAGTAAACATTCTTATTTTATATTCTATCTCTAGGAATGGTTTTTAGCTACTGTTCTTCACATCCAGATTCTGTTGTTCATTATTTCTGATGACTCTTGTTTAAGGTAATTTGTTTCTTTATGTATTTGGGGGAAAAGTCTTGTAGCCTACCTTTTAAGGTCATTCCTTTGGAGGGGATTTTTGTTTGCCTGTGTCAGGTATCTGGGCACCTCCAGACCAGGACAACTTCAAATGACATTTTTAGCTCGGGTTTATGAACTCTAGTCCCAAACTGACATGAGAGCCAGCTTGTGGTTAACAAAAAATCTTCGTGGAGACTTTATTCTCCTACCCACAGGCAAGTTTCTCTAGTTTGTGAGTGTATGTGTGGGGGTGTAAGGGGGGGAATTTAACATTTGACTGAGGCTTTTGCCTTTTGTGGTCCCAGCTCTATGCAGGGATCTTGGTCCCTCCCTGCGTGAGGTTTGATTTCTGTCATGTATAGTGACCATCACACCCAAAGCGCTAATACACCAGGGATTGACAAAAGCCCTCTGCCTGCCATCAAGCCAGTACTTGATCACCTGTCACTTTTGACCTCTGAGGATATCCTTTAAATTTCTTACTAATTCATCTCTGCATTAAGAAAAGATTTAAACAGCTAACATTTTTAGGTTTTTTTTTTTTTCCCTACTAGGTAGGTTCATTTAGGTATTAGTCTACCATAGTTTTAGAAATGGAAGTCCCTTCTTGTGCCCTTCCGAATATGTGAGAGTTTTCCTAGAGCAGGAGCCTGCAAACTTTTTCTGTAAAGGGCCAGATAGTAAATATTTCACACTTTGTGGTCCATACAGTCTGTGTTTATGCAACTCTGTGCCACATTATAGCATGAGAGCAGCCATGGACAGTGCGGCCTGTGGACGTATTTTGTTGACACTTATTCTAGACTCTAGCAGAGGTGTCCAACTTTTTTTTCTCTGCCATACTTTGGAAGAAGAAGGATTATCTTAGGCCACTCATTAAATACATACATAGTAACGAAAGCTGATGAGCAAAAGAAAAGGTCAGTCATCCTTTTCATGGTATCTTACAACTCAGATAAGCAAAACAGTCTTCACTAAATCAGCAAGTGGCTTGTGGGGCTGCAGGTTGATTATCTTGTTGCTATCTGCTTTTTTTCTCAAGATGCATGTGGTAAATACATAACACAGCTCTAGAAAACACAGCTGGAGACTAGGAGCTGAGCGACTCACAACCTGTCAGGAAGGGGATATGACAGAGGAGGGAGCCTTGGAGGATGAGACTTCACATCATAGGATTAGGGCCTGCTCTGTCCTCTAACTCCGGTCTTTTTCTCCCTGGTCCATCATGTGGCTCAATCCAGGGTCTTGTTCTCATGGTACTCTGGATGCAACAGAACATCTTTTGGGTGAGATGTTCTTTCAGTTTTAGGGTACAGTGATGAGATTTGGTGCAAATATAGTTACAAAACCTTGCAAGCATTACTGTTTTTCCTTGATTTGTGAGCTTTTAGAGCATTCTTCCTTTTCCTGTTGTCAGAAGGGATGAGCCCTGGCCTCATATCTACCATTAATTAGCTGCGTGACTGTGAGTGAATCCCATTTAATCTCCCTGAGATTTAGTTTCCTCATTTAGAAGCCAGTGGTGGTGCCTGCCCTGGTGAGACCCCAGAATTGGTTGCAATCAATGAAATGCTTGGGAAGGCTCTGTAGAACATTAATTAAATGCATAATACTGCCAACATTAATGCAGCAATACTGCTACCATTAATGTAGAACATTCATTAAACGCATAATATTATCATAATCTTATTTCATCCTCAAAATAATCCCATCAGACAGGCAAGGCAAGCATGAGATTGGTATACACAAAAACCACTGTGCTGTTTCCACCCTCAAAACCTATTTCAGGTTAGTTTCAAGTAAGACGGAGAAATACCTGCAGCATGTTCTTTCTGATTTCTGTCATCTCAGCCGTCAGCTGTGTGATGGTAGAGTTTGCCTGTCCTTGAGTGATGTGAGCTTGTTGCAGTTTGTTCAATACTTTGTCAAGATTTAATAGAACACTTGCTGACTTCCTAAGGTAGGATATTCATATATTAGATTAGATAAGTATACAGTTGTTCACTTTTTTCACTTTGAGAGAGTTCGTTCTACTCAACCAAAAACTCTACTGAATTATTTATAAATTTAAATTATTCTGAAGCAAGGGAAAGTGCCGAGGTCTTTATTTTGAGGTAATTATATTTAAATGCAAATAAAAACACATATACACAGCCATACCTAGTAGATACAGATTTCACCGGATATGGAAATTAAGGAGATAGGTCTTGTTTTTTCTTGACTTGTCATCAGCAGAGAGGTCCGAGGGAAATAACCATCAAGCTTTGGACATTTCAATTCCCTAATTTTCTCAAATGTAAGCAACACTCTCTAAATCCTTACTGGAGTGTAGGGTGGGGGTGGGAGGATGGACAGCCAAGAGGCCCCACCGAGAGCAAAGAGAGGGGCATTTTCAGGCTGTGTTTATTCAGGGTTATTTAAGCTTCACTGACATTCCAGCCACTCAGGGGCCCAGTCAGAGGTTAAAATCACAAGCATTCCAAGTGATACAGTCCATTTTGCAGAAATGAGCTCACCTCAAGTCAACATTCGCCAGATACTTGGATCTATGGGCTTGAAAACACCTTGAGAAGAATGTTCTGAGGGAGTGAAGTATTAGACAGAGCTTTGCAGAAGCATCATTTAAAATGCTTGGGTCCAGAGCAGAATTAGCTAAGTCATAAAATATTCCCTTCCCCACCCAGCCCATCCTCTCCTCCCAGTGGAAATCTCCTTTTCTCTTAAAACTTCAGGAGCTTTCCCTCCTGACAACACAATCCCCCCCAAACATTTCATTTCTGTAAAATTCCAACACTCCTGGGGCACCAGTGCCCATTTCTTCTATTCTCTACCACATCTTTTTACTGTATTTTTGTTTTCTCTTTATATTTTCATTGAACTGCTTATCTTAGAAATTTAGAAAATATTTTTTT